CAATTTAGATTTACCGATCTGGGATTTATGGATTACACTAAAAGCAATATTGGACATAACATTATCTCCTAGCGTTCAATTTAATGAAAACATACTTTTAAAGTCGTTAATTGAAGAGCACCACAATTTATGCAAACGTCTTCAGATACGTTTACTACCAAAATTTCATCACATGGTCCATTACCCAAATATATTGGCCATGTCCGGTCCCTTAATTCATCTCTGGAGTATGAGATATGAACAAAAACATCGAATTTCAAAACTAACTTCAAATATCTCTGGATCATATAAAAATATGCTTCACACATTAACTATTAAAACTCAACTAAAATTTTATTATGACATAATAACATTTGATAAAAGTAAATTACTTATTAATAATTTTGGTTCTAAACTACCAGTTGATGATGAAACTTACAAAATGTATTTTCTGAAAATGCCACGCAATATATTTACTGTAAAAAGGATAGAAATTTTAGGCACTCTTTACAAACCTGAAATGGTACTTGTTTTGAAAGTACACGGGAATTTACCTGAATTTGGTATACTACGAAATATTTTTGTGATGGAGGACGTTGTTTATTTTCTAGTTTCTGCAACTTTAACATTAAATTTTAACGAAAAATATCAAGCATACGAAATTAAAGATAATGATCAGCTTGTTGTAATTAATTATAATGACTTATGTGACAACTTTCCTCTCGTGAAATGCTTAAAAGATGATGTATTGTTTGTTATTTTGAAACATGTATTGTAAATTATTATTTGTTATTTTAAAACATATGTATTGTAAATATGCTTTTTATTTTTTAAATAAATCAAATAAGTATTTATTTTTTGATAATTTTTACTACAATTAAGTAGCACCGTTAAATAAGATTGCAATAAGCAGTCAAATGTTTTGGAAATATTTTTGTAAGTTATTGCAGTGAAATTCATAAGACACTTTAATATCTATTGAAATCTAACAGTAAATTTTTGCTATATACTGTTAAAGTATTTTCTGCAATTTTACAATGATTTTATATTTTAATTAATTGAATTTTACTAGAATTGCAGTAGTGGTTGCATAACTTTATAAAGAAATGTGAAAATACTTGTAATAATTCTTGCTACAATTTTCGATAAGTGTTTATAAAATATGCATGAAAATTCTAATAAACTACGGCAAAATTTACTACAATGGTTCCCTGATTAGATTATGAATAATGCAAGTATAACTGTTGCAAAATTGATTCGACAAGTTTTTAGAAACTATTCGTGCAACTTGTAGCTGTCACTATATGTGTGTTTTTCTGCAGTGTTCTACTTTGCAATTAACATAATAACAACTGCAATTTTCTTTCAGTGTACTTATTGATTGATTCTCGTAACAGTTGTAACCTTGGAATTTTAAACAGGCAATTACCAGCGCGTAATTTCACACCGCTGCAATTTTTCGTTATCGATGGTTAACATTAATTTTCCTCTTTCGTTCATCAGCTGTGGCAGAGTGCACTTTATTTTTAATCAAACAGCAAAACGCATGGGATTTTAATTGCCCCAACCCATATTTGACGATTAAATTCGGTTAATTGGGGAATTCCGCATCAATTTGTGAATGGAATTTCAACCCGTCACTCCAGTAGGAGGATATAGTTGCGTTATTCTTCTTCATTCTAAGTACGCCATTTGCATTTAATCTGTTTGACGTATATCTTCTTTATGTTCCTGCTGATCTTTAATACAATTTTCCATCGACGATTGTTGCACATTCATCTATATATCTCTTATTTAAAGAGATATGTACATTTTAAGGTTATCAACGACGAGGGTTACATTTAATTTCTTTTAAGATTTTAATTTCCAGTTTTAATGTCACGTTCAAGGCTACTTTAATTTATGGTTCCAGTTCAAGAACCAGTTCCAATTCCAGCTTTTAAGTAACGGGTGATCAAAAATGAGTTGCTGTCGAGGTTGATGTAAAGTCACTATATGTGCACAAACTAACGACACCGTTTGACGGCCTTTCCTTTACTAATAAGGGAGCCGCCATTTACTGAAACTGGGTCATGCACCAGATTTGATAACAAGATTCGATCCACAACCAAGAAACAACTTCCGTAACTTTCTAGCGTATTAATCAATAACTATTTTTACCCCTTTAGGGTTATATGATCTCACTTTTAATGAACTTGTTACCTCCAGGATTTGTATTTATTATCTTGCGACCTCTGTAAAGTTATGATCGATTGTTCTCACGTATGTCATTGTAGATGGCCACTTTCTTCCGAAGCGTTGGCTAAAAACCGTATCTTACTATCAGTAAGGCAATGTCCTTCGCAGTGGCGGATTTAACGGTGGGCGTAGTAGGCCTTCGCCTACGGGGCCGAAGTCCCTCGAGGCCCCTTAACCAATAAAAAATGTTTTTTCTGCGAAAAAAAAATGGTTTGGGCGCCCATCATATCTCATATAGAGTCGGAAGTCATAACAATAACATTGTTGGAATGCTTACTACCGATATCCTATCCTACTAATCCTATTGACAAATTACACTGAAGGGTTGATGATCTCCCAGAACTGGTGCGTATCACAGTACTTAGAATTCATATTGAACAAAAATCTCGAAGAATGTTTCCCAGAATTTGTTGCCGTTCTGAGAATATTTTTAACGCTTCCAGTGAGCACAGCCAATGTGGAACGTGTTATGAGTTCTTTAAAACATATCATGCAACCTCGAAGAAGTACATTAACCGAAGAGAGACTGAACGATTTCAGCATTTTGAATGTCGAAAAAAAAATAGCAGAAACATTGGATTTAGAATCAATCATAGACTACTTTGCAAATGTAAAGGTTAGAAGGGGCGCCAAATTGTTTTGAAATATATTTATACCTGTATTTTATCGTTTATTGTATCTTAAATATTTTTATTTTTTATATATGTATCTATACGCGTTTACATTTTCTAATATTAGATGTTTTTCTGCAATTTATTTGTGGTAAAATTCAGTAATCAACTCAATCGATCAATCTTGATTGGGGGTTAATCAAACTGGTATGTGTCAATTGTAGAGCGTGCGTGAAGGTAGCCAGTACATCAGTACTCTGTAGTACCGTTTGAGTACTATCTTAAAACGACAGGAAAAATTTACTACCTATGAAGGACGCCGATATTTTTATGTACTGGCTGGCGGGATTTGGAAGCTAACCAGTACACTGGATATCGATAACCCGTACATTAATATACAACGGTACTATTTAGTACTTCTTGGGTACTGAATACATACACAATCAGTTTCATGGTACCTTTAAGTTGCCTTGTACTGCTACGTTCCAAATTCCGCTAGCCAGTACACGAGAAATTGATAACCAGGATATAAACAAACAGAAGTACCATTTAGTACTGCGTAAGGATTGATAAAATGTAAAATCAGTTTTCTGATACCATTAGGATTACACTAGTAATAATAATAATATGATATATTGTGCTACTGTGTGTTTACACTTACACTTGTCGTACATAATTCTAAACTAACACAAAAACATTTAGGTTTACATTCATAGAATAAAAAGAAACTAAAGACATTTACAGTTATTCACAAACTCATCAAACGTAAAAAGGTTTTCGACAATAAAAAAGTCCTAATTTTGTTTTTAAACTTGGGCAACGGTAATTGTTTTATGTGTGGGGGCAAACAGTTATATAAAAATTTCGACTGGTAGTACTGACTACCTTCCAAATCTCGATAGCCAGTACAGGGGATATTGTTGTACGGCACATAAATACGTGATAGTACGATTTCCTAGGTAGCAAATGGATTTTATATGCCACAAGCCTCTACTGCTCCACTTAGCCATACAATATCTAATGCTTCGAGATTTATCAGCATGTTGTGTTATACACCAAATCCAGTTCACGAATCTTCCGGGATTCTGGCCCTCACTACTGTCCCTTACATAAGGCAATCCCTCCTGCAGCTCCACGGCCGTAGTGTGATGTATCTTAAACAACAGTGTTTTCTCATGCCACCTGGATAATGGGATCTTACTGTTAAAGCGCCAACATCGCTCCCCCTTCATTAGAACGTTTATTTATGACCGAGAACCAATAGACTAATATCTAGGAAACGCATACTTCATCAATATTTTCTTTCGGTGTTCGGAACATTATGACAATTATGTTGACAGCCATAGAGGGGTAAGTTAGACAAAAGTATGTCTAAATCTTATCTAAAACGAAAGTGTCCTTTTTCTCCTCCGAGAACAATGGTATACTAGCAAGAGGTCACGTTTATTGGAGTTGGAATAGATTCGTTTTCCAGAATCGATTATTTCGAATAGAGCTACTGTAAACGTGAACATCCCCACAAATTAAATCGTGTAGATGACGCTTGGAGATTACCGCCAGCAAAGAAGTGAACGTTTATACGTAATTAACACCAAGACAATTAATCAGATGTCAGGACTCTCGACGCGGTTCACAAATTCCGAACGCACATTCGGTAAATTCGAAAAAACCGCAAGAATAAGACCACCCAATTTGACGACTTTCAATTTAGTTTTGT